GAGAGGTGAAGTGACTGGCCACAGCTAGGAAGTGTCTGAGGCAGGATTTGAACTCAGGTCTTCTCGACTCCAAGTCCAATGCTCTATCTTCTATGCCACCTAGCTGCCCTTCCCACACAACCTTCCATCTCCCACACTGTGGCCTTTGCTTGGGTTCCATTCCAAGCCTGGAAGGCATCTCCTCACCTCTATCTCTTAGAAGCTCTAGCTCCCTTCTAGGCTCCCCTCAACTGTCGTTTCCTAAAAAGATCCTGCCTGTATTTTCCCAGGAGTCAATGCTCTCCTCTTCCTCCATATGACTTCATGCATGTTTCACCTTAACTGAGCTGTGTTCCCATTGTCTCCCCTAAGTTGAATGTAAACCCCCGGAGGGCAAGGGCTGTTTCTTTTTCTTTTTTTTTTTTTAGGCAATTGGGGTTAAGTGACTTGCCCAGGGTCACACAGCTAGTAAGTGTCAAGTGTTTGGTCTGAGGCCAGATTTGAACTCAGGTCCTCCTGACTTCAGGGCTGGTGCTCTATCCACTGTGCCACTTGGCTGCCCTGTTTCATTTCTAGCTTTGGATTTCCCACATGCTTGGCACACAAGTATGTGTTGCACAAATGTTTGTCAAATTGACTTAAGATTGTGCTAGAAGACAGCAGCAAAGCCCTGGATCTGAGGGTCAGAAGAGTTGAGTTGAGTCTGCCACTCACTCTATCAGTGACCTGGAGTGATCCCCTCACTTCATGAATGCAGTTAATTGGATGAGGTCATAATAACAGATTTACAAAGTACCTTACATCCATTTCCTTTTTTGAGCTCTGCAAAGGTGGTCTAAGATTCAACTGGCTAATAAGCTAGCAAGGGGCAGGATTTGAACCCACATTTTTCTGATTCCAAGGCCATCCCTCTATCTACTATGCCACAAGGTGGTACAAGATGATTCTGTGGAATAAATTTCAAAGTGCTACTTTATGTTCCCATCTAAGAACAAAGGAAATAGAAACGTTGACAAATTTGGAGGAAAAAAGAAAACCTCCACATGGCAGGGCCTCGCTTATACAGAGGTTATTTTTCTGGATATCTCAACTCTTAAGTAAAGAAATAAAAAAAGGCCTCTGAGCATCCAGAAGAGAGTTCACAAAGTTCATGCCCTTTATTCAAAGGGGACCCCTTCAGGCCTTCATTCAGAGCCTATTCATTTTTATTTTAGAAGCAGTTATAACAAGCTTGACTAGCTGGTCAATGAAAAAGGAAGAGGAGGAACAGGTGATTCTAGGAGCAAACACAGTGAAGATGACAAGGGAAAGCTACTAGCCTTATAGGAGGGAAGAGAAAGAAAAACTATAAAAATCAGAGACATGAAAAAAGCGTGCAATCTGCAGCCAGTGAGTGTAGAAGCCAAGACCCCTACACACTTTAGTAGAGCCCAAGAGTGGGCAATATTGGATGGCCACAATGATGAGACTCTGTCAGCAATAAATGGTTAAGGTGAATTCATTATACTCTGCTTAATAAGGCAGGGAAGCAGCTAATACATTTCCCACTTGTGTGGAAAACCTTATTCCCCAAAGATGTTAGATAAATGGGGCTGTTGCCTTAAGAAATCCAAGGAAACAAGTTGGGGTAGAGGTGGGGGGAGATGTGAAATTAAGGCAAAGCTTATACCCTTGCTGCTAAATGGGATTTAGAAATGAACATACTAGAACTTCATGTGAAAATGCATTGTAATGGGAACTGAGCAGGACACGATGCCAACTCAAACAGGCCTAACCAACTCTGCGGTCTTCCTTCTCCTTAAATTGTAACCATTCCTTTTTAAAAAAAAAATAAACACAAAAACTGTTTTAAAAAGAAGTGGATTATAAAAGTGAAACCCATTAAAGAGAAAGAAGAAAGAGTCTAGGAAAAGAAGTTTAGAGCCCAGAAGGAGACTTAAGAGATCATTCAGCCCAACCCTCCTGTTTTATAGAGATGGGGAAGCTGAGGCCCAGAGAGCAATAATGGCTTTCCCAATGGCACATGAGTTGAAGATCCAGGGCTTGATCCTAAGCCTTCCGACTGGCAGACCAGTGGTCTTTCCATTACCAGCTGCTTCCCAGAGAAGGCGGTGCCTGAACCAAAGGAGGTCCCTTTGACCTTCAGCATCTCACCCCCTCAGCCTTTTATTAAACAAAGCCCATCAAAACAGAGGGGAACCCAGCCTGACAAGGCCATCTTCAGTCAAATAATTTGTCCAGCAGATCCGAGCTAGAGGAGCCGAGGGTGGCTTTTTAACCAGCTCCTTGTGGTCTAATGGCAGCACATTACTATCCCTTTTCTCTGTGCTTTTATGTTAGACAGTATTGGAACTGGATGGCTGCAAGTCTAGGGATGGAGAAATGGACCTTTCTTCTTAAAAATCATCAGATCTGGCATAGGGAGCTGCTAGGAAAGAAACTCCCTGTACGAAAGCAGGTCAGCACCCTCTTGAAAATGTTTAGCCTTAGAGACTTGCCTGGACCACTGAGTCACATGGGTCTTGCCTGGGTCACAATGACAGTCTGTGACTCCCAAGTCATCACTCAAACTTGGGTCTTCCTGTCTTTGAAGCCAGCTCTCTAGCAACTAGTCTCTGCTGTTTCTCATCACTCCTGATTCTGTCTCTGGAACTAACCAGCTGTCACTAACTTGGGATGTTAAGCCCCATCCCCCAAGCCTCCATTTCCTCATCTTTAATGTTTTCATCTAGGAAATTCTAAGATGCCAGGATGTCATCATACCATCTAACTTCGGGATGCTGGAAAAATCAGTGTCTGTGCCTTTACTGATCTGTAAAATGAGTCAGGTCCCTAAAATGTCTTCCAGGTCTCTCTCTCAGAAATTCATTAATTAGTTGGGATTTTACAGGGCAGTATATATGAGGATGGGAAAGGGAAGGGAAGGTGGGACACGTGGGCAAGGCAAGCCAATATTAGGCTAGATTCTCTGTCTTTAGAGAATGTGCCTTCTTCTGACCAAAGAGGGGGAGAAGCAGGTTGGGGGGAGCCACTGAGCAGCCTTCAAGTACTGGTTTTCTGCCACCAAACAGCTCCCAGACTTGGTCCAGCTCTCTCCTGCCAACCCCTGGTAGAACACGTGAGCTTCTTGAGACTAAAGACTGTTGTTTTTTCTTGGTATCTAGGGCTTAGAACCTTGCCTGGAACAGAATGAAGACTTAGCAAAATGCTCTCTGACTAACTCTATTAAGCTTCTGTTTTCTCACCTATAAATGAGAAAGGGTACCTGCAGAACTCTCAATGAAATGTAAGCTTCCTGAGGGCAAGGATTGTATTTTGGCCCTTCTTTGTCACTTCCCCCCAGTCCTCTCCTGGAAGCCAGCACAGTGCAGGCACATAGTAAGCTGGCTTACTACATACATACACATGCTTGTTTTCAAACTCTGGAAATGTCCCCTCTACTTTGAAGAGTATTCTGAGGTCCTGGAGCCCCCCCCCCACCTTGCTGGGCACCAATACTTCCAGGCTCTGTCTCTTACACTCATGGGAGTTGGGGGGGGGGGGGTTCTGCTGCACTAGGGCCCATCACTTGTAGCAGCCTCCAGGGTAAACATGCAGCAACATGAATGAAATCTGTCCAGAAAGACAGCATTTCAGTCCCCACCAGGCAACCTCTGGCCAAACCACTGAATATGTAACAAAGTTTTCTTTCGTTTGGGGAGTCTCTGGTTACGCTTACACCATTTCCTGTGGAAAATTGAAGCTTTGAAGTATCTCTAGCTCAGGCTTTCTGAGACGGGCAGGACGGCTGAGAGCTCTCTCGTTCTCTTTCTCTCTCTCTCTCTCTCTCTCTCTCTCTCTCTCTCTCTCTTCTTCTTCTTTCTCTCTTTCTCTCTCTCTCTCTCTCTCTCTCTCTTCTCTCTCTTCTCTCCTCTTCTCTCTCTCTCTCTCTCTCTCTCTCTCTCTCTCTCTCTCTCTCTCTCTCTCTCTCTCTCTCTCTCTCTCTCTCTCTCCCTCCCTCCTTTCTCTCATAAATAAGGTACCACTTCCCTCCCATCTCTATCTCCACATTTGTTGCTCATCACCCCCCACCAGGCTTGCAATGCCGATATAGGTCCTGCTGCTGGCTAGTCTTGAAAATAAAGGAGGTCAAGAGAGAACAGTTTCAGAACCTGCTGGAAAGAGTGGTTGGAGACGTAAGCCCTACCCCAGCCACACCTCTCCCCCCTCCCCAGTCCAGCCTCTCTCTTCTCTCCCCTCTTCCCACCCCAGGATCTTGGGGAGACAATCCTTTCACCAGAGTGAGCAATGCTGGAGTTACAGCCCCGGGACTGAAGTGAGTCAGGGGAGCACCTGGGGTGCTCTCACTTTCCAAGAGCTAATCCTATAAATATCCCCCAAATAAGGGGGGGGGGCATTGCCGATCTAGAAGTCCCTCACACACACCGTGGAGCTGTCTTCCTCTCCCTTCGGGCTCTGACTCCGCCCTGCTTGAAACCCCGACTGTCGCCCCCACCTCCTCCCAGCTCGTTGCCCGGAGAGAGAGTAAGAGGGGGTAAATAGGGCAACGATGCCACCTCCCTCATTCACGGTCAGCCTCCTTCTCCGGCCCCCCGGAATCTGTCAGCTTCAAGGTCAAAACGTCGCTTTGGGCACAAGGGTGGCGAGTCAGGGGAGGGAATGGGGGAGCAAATATCTGCCGCAAAGTCCCAAACCTGTCAAAATATGTGGCAGGCCCCGGCCCCGCTGGACAGTAGCCCGGAGCCCGGAGGCCGGAGGCCGGAGGCCGGGGAGCTCTACAGCCCGCCCGCTGGGGCTCCACCGAGGTTCCCGAGGGGGCGTGACCGCACTCCCTGGTATCTCGGCGCTCCGACCCCGGAAGGCGCGCAACCTATGCGGGTGTAGACCTCAAGAAAGGGAGGGTAAGAGACCTGTTCGTAAGCTGCTTTTCTTTTCTCAGCCAAGGTGCCTACGACTCCTGCAGGGACCCGGCTGTCCAGAGAAAGGGAAGGGAGGTGGCAGGGTTGCCCCTGGGCACTCACCGTGGGCATTCTTCCCGCAGATGAGATGCTGGTAGGGCTGCAGTAGCCCCCAGAGCTCCGAGTCGTTGTTGACTGTCTGCTCCAGGGATTCCACGGTGAACTTGGGAGGCTCCGGGGGGGCATGGTGGTGGTGCTGCGGCTGGTGGTAGTGGTGGTGGTGATGGTGGTGGATGTGGTGGTGGCCGGCGGCGGCCGCGGCTGCGGCCGCCTGGGCAGTGGCGCCAGCTGCGGGGGGCGCGCAGCAGCTGCTGCTGCCCCCGCTAGTGCTGCTCCCAGCACTGCAGCCCCCTCCCGCCCCTGGCCCGGGCCCGGTCCCCGCTCCTGCTCCGGCCTCCCGCTCCCGCTCCCGCTCCGCCGGAACGCGGGGCGGCAGCGGGGGCAGCGGGGGCAGCGGGGAAGGGGGAGGGGGCGGTGGCGGCGGGGGCAGCGCCCCGGGTGGCGGCGGCGGCGGCGGTGGCTGGGCCGGGGCCGGGCCAGGGGCCAGGGCCAGGGGGGGCTGCAGCGGCCCGGCGGCCAGCACCCGGCCGTAGATGTCCCGGAAGAGGCTCTCCATGCAGGCGGTCAGGTAGATGGCTGCGTGCTCGTGGATGCGCAGCGCCACGCGGCTGTCCACCATCCAGCGGTACACCTTGCCCACGGAGAAGGTGAGCCCGCAGCGGGCCGACTTGCCGCGGCCGAAGCGGTCGCCGCCGGCGCTGCTCATGTTATAGAGGGAGAGCGCGGCGAGCGCGGCGGCGGTGCAGTGCGCCGCCAGGCTCCAGGACAGCACAATCTCCATGGCGCTCTGGACCTCGTGCTTGGTGCACTTGGCGAAGCGCAGGCTCAGCCGCTGCGCCTCCTTAGCGATCCGCACCAGCGCCCGGCTCACCAGCGCGGAGAGGCGGGCCAGGGCATCCTTGGGCAGGCCCGGGCCCGCCGCGGGCGCCGGAAGGCAGGCGGACGCCAAGCCGGCCCGCGGCTCCCGGGGGCGCAGCAGCAGCAGCGCCTCCAGCTCGGGCAGGGTCCAAGGCACGTCCTCGAGGTCGGGCAGCAGCCTGGAGCAGTGCTGGCCCGCGCAGTCCAGCGCCTCGGAGTCTTCCACCAGGGCAGTGTTGACAGTGTCAAAGCTGTTGTGTCTGCTGTGCATGGAGTCAGCTAGATGTGGCCAGCAGCTCCCTCCATAAGGGTACGAGGACGACGCCGGGTGTGAATCGGAGCAGCACAACGACAAGTTGGAGGAGCGGACCGAGTCCGCCGCGCCACCATAACCCGAGTCCAGGGTCAGATCTTCCAGCGTCCTGACCACGCTCTTACCTCTGCTGGCCATCGCGGCTGCACTTCATGCTGCTCCGACGAGAAACCAACCAGGGCAGGGGGAGCCAGAAAAAGAAAGGCAGCGCGTGAGGAGGGCAGCAAGAGCGCGAGAAGGGGGTGGGGGTAGGCAGGGAAGCCCGGCCCGCAGCCGCCGCCGCCGCTGAGGCTCACTTTTCCCCCGCTGCAGAACTAACCAAGTGTTACTACTTTCCGCTTTCCTGGGCCGCCGCCTCCTTTTGCGCACGTAGAGAAGACCCCCCAGTCATCTTCCGCGGCACCGGAGCCAAAGCGAGATCAGAGGCGTATGAGAGCAGCCCGGGTTGGGGGGTGGGGGGTGCGAATCACACGCAGTTACTTCCTAGCTTCCAAAAAAAAAAAACCGAAAGAAGAAAGAAAACGAAAAGTCTTTTGCGCGTTCCTTCTTGGGCCCGAGACCGGGCTCGACTCAGCCGGCTCAGCCACGGGAAGCCAGGCGGCGGCCCCAAACAGACGACGACAGCAGCAGCAGCCAGACGCCACGGCCGCCGCTGCAGCACCTCCGGCCGGCCCGCCTGCCTGCCCGCCCCGCGCAGTCTCGCAGCCCGAGCTCCGCACTGCACAGGAGCGGGGAAAGCAGCAGCGGCAGCAGCAGCCAGCCACCCTCTGTCTACAGCACCCGCAAGAGCGAGCCAGCCAGCTGGGGAAGGACGTGTGTAAAGGAGGGCGGCGGAAAGAGCCAATGGGATGGGAGCATGTTAATGAGCTACCTCTCTTCCTCCTTTCCCCCTTTTCTCCCCCCTCCTCTTTTTCGTCAGTTTCTTCGCCACCATCTGCACCTACCACCACCAGTCCTCTCTCCTTCCTCCCCTACCCCTCCATCCAAGCCGCAGGAAGAAGGGAGCTTAGGGATAGGTGGTATTAGGCACCAGTACCGTGGTCCTGAATGTGCAGTGGCTGCTGCCTATTTGGTCTGAGACTGATTGACACGCCATCCTCCGGTTAGAGTAGACAGAGCAGAGGACGCAGGCACTCTAGCCTTCATCGCTTGCCTGTCTGGCTTTCAGGGTCTCTTCTCTGTCTGCCTGTCTGCTCCTTACCCTTCCTTTGCACTGCCTCTGCCTTTACCTCCGCCTCGGTGGTTTTGAACTTTGCCTCTCACCAGCTAGGAGGCTCATTTCTCCTCTCCCCTTCTTTGCCCCTTTCGGGGATTCAAGGCAAACAACTGCGTTCCAGGAATAGGGAGGCTAATTCAGGCGCAGGGCTTAGTCCATCGGGGAAAAGAAATCGGAAACCCTGGCGAACTGAGTTAGGTCTGCAAGAGCAGCAGCTGCGAAGGAATCTCTTAGTAATCCCTGCGGAGGAACGCCAGCCCACGAGCATCCCAGCGATTGTTTCCAGGCACCTTTCAGGTGGTAGTCACAGGAGAGGAGGCCGCTGGCATATTGGACATGCTTTGATATGTGGCACCTTCTTGGGGCTGAGCAGGAAGCAATGGGCCCAAATCAGCTTGTTAAACCATCACCCCAGAGACCCCACTTTCTTCATGCTCACTTGGCAGCTTAAAAAAAAATCTTCCTTTAAGAATAAAAACTCCTTACATATGTTCATACACGTTCTTAGGTATTACCATTGATGTTAAAAAAAACAACAACCAGGCTAACTTTCGACATCGACACAAGGGGTTTTTATGTTAATGAAGGGGGTGGTGAGCAGTAAGGGATGTTAAGAGGCCTCTTTTACAAATGGGAAAACTGAGGCCCAGAGAAATTAAATAGCTTGCCCAATAAGTATCAGAAGTGAAATTAAAACCCAGGTTCTGCAACTCGACCTGTGTACCACACTTCCTCTTGGTATTCCTCCTTTGAAAAGTCCCTCCAGATATTAAGAGTAACCACACTTCTGCAACTATATAAGTAATTTTAGAAAGTTACCTCGAAGCCAGTGATTGACCCATATTAGTATGAGAATATATCAGAGGCAAGATCTGAACAAAGGTGTTTATGACTCCTGGCCCATTATTGTTCAGTCGTTTCCAACTCCTCGTGACTCCATTTGGGATTTTCTTGACAAGAGATACTAGAGTGGTTTGCCATGTCTTTCTCCAGTTCATTTTACAGATGAGGAAACTGAGGCAAACAGGATGAAGTGATTTGACCAGGGTCACAGAACTAGTTAGTAAGTGTCTGAGGTCAGATTTGAACTTAGCAAGATGAGTCTTCCTGATTCCAGGACTGGTGCTTTATGCACTATGGCTCCCCCTAGCTGCCCCATACTATTTTGTTGGTGTTCAGTCTGTCCAACTCTGTGACAGTTAGTCCACAGGGTTTTCTTGTCAAGAATACTGGAGTGGTTTGCCATTTCTTTCTTCAGTCCCATTCTCTCTCTCTCTCTCTCTCTCTCTCTCTCTCTCTCTCTCTCTCTCTCTCTCTCTCTCTCTCCCTCTCTCTCTCTCTCTCTCTCTCTCTCTCTCTCTCTCTCTCTCTCTCTCCACACACACACACACACACACACACTCCACCTTAGTAAATATCCATTTCTAAAAACTGATTTGGCTTAGATGGTTCATTGATATCACCCGATAATCAATAAGGGAAGCACCTTGGTGGGGGCTCATGAGCTGTAATAATAGAAAGAAATTCCACAGTCTCTAATGCTTTACCTCTAGAACAAGACTTTCTAGCATGAGTAAGAATTAGGAAACTTCATAAGTTGGAAGTACCATCCACCCCTTCAGCTTTTCCCTCTAATTGGCTGGTTCCTCTCAGAAAATCCATTTTAAGGAGGAAGCCCAGGCCAGCCAAATCTTCATTCTTCTCCAGGCTATACTCCTAACTGTGCTAGACTTTCTCTACAATGTGCCTGGCACCTTCATCTCTCTCCCCACCCTCCCTTCCTTTTCATCTTTCTTTTATGTATTATCTTTCTCCATTGGAATGTTAGCTCCTTGAGGGCAAGGACTGTCTTTCCTTCTGCTTATATGGGTATCCCCAGTTCTTACTACAGTGTCTGGCACATAGCAAGGACTTAATAATTGCATCTTGACTTGAGTTAATGTTGAAATAGCCCCACAGCATTTGCTACACAAGTAACTAGAGGGGGAAACAATGCACAGTGACTCAGATTGGTTCAAGAAAAGTGCTGTGTGACATCTGATGGAAGAACGAAAAATTCACTTAAGGAAATGAAAGGTCCTGGTTCAGTCATTTGGCCTTGGTTTCTGTAAAGTGTGGGGGTTGGACTTCAAAATCTTTGCTTCTATGAATTCAACAGAGCTGGGGAAAAGGGAGGGCAATCCAGGAATCTGAAACAGCACAGGCAAATGCATGTAGATGGAAAATGTAAGGGGATGGTAAGAGGGCCCCAAAATCTGGGCCAGTGTCCAAGGCGTGAAGTAGTTAGATGAGTAGGAACAGAATTAGAGGGAGCACGCACATCACCTTTGTCTGGTCTTTGCTCACTCAGAATTCAACCATGGGCCCTTCACTCTTTGCACGCCTGCCTAACTCTTCTTGTGGAAACTCCCAGCAGGAACATGCGAATTCTCCTGCCAATCCATTTCTCCTTGTTTGCCTTGGCCTCTAAATTGGTTTTCAGGAGCTGGAAAAGAAAAGCTGACAACTGTAATTTGGATTCATCACCATCACCCTTTCATGCTGAACCCTCCTTCCTTCTCGGCAGGAGGCTGAGGCTGAAGGCAAGTTGGTCTTTAGGAGGAGGGGAGGGGAGAGGGGTTCTGGAACCACCCATAGTCCACAGTGCTCTCCTCCAAATTCAGAGTAGTCTGGTGGCATATACCAACAGCCCCTGAATCTAAAGCTAGGAAGGACCTCGGGAGCCATGCAGTCTTTCCTTTTACAGCTGAGGAAACTGAGTCAACAGGAAACTAGATTATAGGATCATAGGTTTAGGAAATGAAGAAAGAAGAGGAAGAGATGTTTCAAAATATGTTTCATCATGAAAATCACCTAGAACAGCCAAATTGGAAGAGATCCAGGGGTCACCTAATCCAACCTGTGTGACAACAGAAATCCCCTTTACAACATCCCTGACAGGCCTCTCCTTGAGCACCTCTGGAGTGAGGAGGAACCTATTACTTCCCAATGCAACCTATTTCTCTTTGAGATTGCTTTCACTGTTTCTGTAACTGCAAAATCTGGCTCTCTGATATTTCCATCCACGACTCCCAGTTTTCCCTTCTGGGATCAAGAAGAAAAAAGTCTAATCTTCTCCATAAGAGAACCTTTCAATGATCACATCAAGTCAAAAATTATCTATTGAGCCCTTATTAAGCAGCAGGCACTGTGTTGAGAGCTGGGGGATGTGAAGAAGGGCAAAGGAACTCCCCCTGTCCTCAAGGAGCTAGCTCACATTTTATTTTCCATAACATTCCCCCATTTTACAGGTGAGAAAGCTAAGACTCAAGAGAGTCAGTCAACAATCGTTTATTGAAGCTGACTGTGTCAGGCACGGGGAGGAGAAGTTAGAGATACAAAATAGGCATCTCTTTCTTTGTCCTGCCCTCAAGGAGCTTACATTCTAATAGGAGGAGACAACATCTAAACAAGTTGGTAGATGCCATTTAAGCTGGAAGGCACTCTAAGAGGAGGAGGCAGTCCTAGCTGGGAGTGGGGTGGGGATTGGGGGTGGGCGAGGCAGAAAAGACCTCCTGGCTATCCCAGGTGAGGTTTAAATTATTCAGAAACTAACTGAAGGTGGTGACTGGCCTGGCATTCCAGGTGTGGAGGACAGCTCAAGGCAAGAAAAAGACGATATTACAGGATTTTATACCTGAAAGGGGCCTTAGAGACCCTCTGGCCAACCCCATTCATTTTATCCAACAGAACATGAATATTATTTGCCCATACACATGGGGAGCAGAGCTTGGTGTTAAACCGAGGCATTCACACCCAAATCTAGTCTCCTCAAATTCCAGATGAGGAAACAGAAGCCCAGAGATGTTAAGTGACTTGCCCAAAGGGCAACAGCTCCTAAGTGACAGTGGTAGGATTTGAACCCAGGGCATCTGACTCCAAATCCTGCTTCCTCTTGGGTCCCTTCCCATTCCAAATGTAATCCTGATCTATTTCTACACTTTTCACAAGACAGGTGCACATTTTTTCTCCCATTTCCTTTTGACGTAGAGGACTAAACATGAGATGTGTAAGACACAATTAAGACAAAAACCCCATTTCATTCTTTTTCCTGGAAAGCCAAGGAGGTGGGGGTAGGGGAATCTGTGGAGGAAAATCCAGTCTGAGAATTCATTTCAATGTGAAGGACCTTTTCAAGGCTTTATGTGCTCCAATGGTCCTTTAAAGATTTTAAATGCAATCCCAGCTAAGTGTTACAGGCCCACTTTCAATACCTCTCATGTCCCCTTCCCCCAAGAACATTCCTTCCCTTCTGGGTTGATTGTGGGTTTCAGCCAGGCTCTGATTGTCTCGTTCCAGACTCCATTCTATACTGTCTTTGCTGTTGCCCAAATATTGTGGCTGAAGCAATTACTCACAAAACCAAGCAATTAGTTAAATCTCCAAATGTGGCATAGGAGAAGGAGGTTGGGGGTGTGGGTCTAGGGGAAAGGGATACGGTCATGCTGCTGCTCAAAGCAACCTCAGGAGAGCAAAAGGCTCTCAGAGGCAGGGGAAGGAAGTCTTTCTCCA